TTTTTAGTAGAGGCAGGGTTTCACCTTGTTGACCAGGATGGTCTCGATATCTTGACCTCGTGATCCACCCGCCTCGGCCTCCCAATTTTTTGTATTTTTAATAGAGATGGGGTTTCACCATGTTGGCCAGGATGGTCTTGAACTCCTGATCTCAGGTGATCCACCCGCCTCAGCCTCTCAAAGTGCTGGGATTACAGGCTTGAGCCACTGCGCCCAGCCCTAATTTTTCTATTTTTAGTAGAGATGGGGTTTCACCATCTTGGCCAGGCTGGTCCTGAACTCCTGACTTCATGATCCGCCCACCTCAGCCTCCCAAAATGCTGGGATTACAGCCATGAGCCACTGCACCCTCCCCTCTCTGCCATTTTCTTACTTTCATCCGTGCCTGTCTCCCACCAATAGATAAATTATCCTGAAGCACTTCTTCACTGTCACCCTTGGCTCAAAAACCCACACTAGCTCTTAAGTTTTATCACTCGTTTGGAGCCAGCCTTCTCTACCTGACCTTTTCTGCCTTCTGTAGTGCCATCCTGCCCCTCCCATCCTCTGCCTGGTCCTCAGTGTCAGGGTGTGTCCCTATCTCTCAGTGCCGGAATGTTGGGGTCACCCCCCCATTCCAGTGGCACCTTCTCTATGGGGAGCTCTGACACTTAACTATCTGTATTGCACACTGTAACTCTTTACTCTTCTCTAATTGTATAATATTACATACGTCTTTCCCCAGGGCAAAGTAGTATCCTTAAGAATAGGCACAATTAGGCCGGGCCTGATGGCTCAAGCCTGTAATCCCAGCACTTTGGGAGGCTGAGGTGGGAGGACTGCATGAGCCCAGGAGTTCAAGACCATCCTGGGCAACATAGCAAGACCCCATCTTTTAAAAAAATAGGCACAATTCATTCAGGAACTGTTTATCACATCTCTGTTGTCTGCAGGCATTATGCTGAGTTACAGTGTGGCATAAGGCAGTGTGGCCATTGTTCTTTTGCTTACCTCCTTCCAGGGTCTGGAGCTTTATTTCTCACAGTGCGAGCAGAGACCTGTGTATATAGTCAGTGTTCTTTTTCTTCTGGTTGTGTTGGGGGCCAAGAAGGGCCTGAGACCTGAGTCTAAGGCCTCTGTGTTCCCTGGAGCGAATGTGTTCTTTTAGGCCTGGGTCCATCTTGGCTCCAGGCAGGCCTGGCTTTGCATCGGGGTCGAGATTACAGCCAGAAGCACAGCCAGCTCTCTGGAGAATGTAACCCAAATATCACCCCTTGTTGAAGAATAAGGTAACAACAGCTGTAGCATTCAGAATACAAAAAAAAAAAAAAGATAATATCCAGCATTCTCCCACTCTCTAGCAGTGACTTTTATTTTTGAGTCTTTGTCCATTCTTAAGTTTTTGCCTTGGACTATTTAATTTTGTGTTTTGTTTTATTTTGTTTTGTTTGCTGAGATGGTGTCTTGCTCTGTCGCCCAGGCTGGAGTGCAGTTGTGCAATCTTGGCTCACTGCAACACCACTCGGGTTCAAGCAATTCTCCCACATCAGCCTTCTAAGTAGCTGGGATTACTGAACCACCATGCCTGGCTAATTTTTGTATTTTCAGTAGAGACAGGGTTTCACCATGTTAGCCAGGCTGGTCTTGAACTCCTGGCCTCAAGTGATCTGCCCGCCTCAGCCTCCCAAAGTGCTGGGATTACAGGTGTGAGCTACCATGCCCGGCCTGGCCTGCTGTTGGAATCTGGGAAAGTTCAAAGGGTTAAATGATAGAGCCTTGTTGAATGCTATAGTAGTAATAATAGTGGTGACGGTTGACTCAGGAAAAGGTAAAGAGTGCAGCTTCCTTGCTCTCTTCAATGTTCCTCTGTGTTCCCTGCTTACTGCCTCCCTCAGTCTGTGAGCACACCCTCCCCTACAGTGGTTTGCCTGACCCCTCTTGAAGCAGGTTGCTCTTCTACTTCATGGGTAAATATTGACCTATTTGGGTTTCAAATGCCTGCTCCTCGAAACTCATGCTAGGCTAGAAAAACATGCTGAGAGAACATCTCTTGAGAATAAGAGTTACTTTTGGTTAGGCTTTAATGTAATTAGCCCACTCACTGAGTCCTTGCTTGCAATGGTCAGCACTGTGCTGGCCTCCTGGTGGGGTGGTGGTGGACAGAGGCAGGGCACTGCCCCTTGCCCCCACTCTGGGAGTTTGTGGTCCAGCTGGGGAGATAAGACTCATACACTGGGAATTCTTGGAGGCTGTGTGCCAAGCAGCTGCAAGGATCCTGAAGGAGAATTCTTGCCTGAGTGCGAGGCGGTGGCCCTCTGTGACTATCAGATCTCTTCTAACACTTCTTAAGTTTTCTGGTCTTAAGTGGAATTCACTCAAGTGCCAAAATGTCTGTTGTAGACAATGGGTGACATGGGCTGGCAGGAAAAGAAGCTTGGCCTTCTTGTGAGGAGGGGAAGGGAACAGGGATGGGCTGTGGGGAACTAGGCTGAGAGGAAGGAGTTTCTGTGGTTTGCTAATCCTCTGGTATTCATTTCCCTGAAATGTCCCTGGACCTGCTCCTAGGCTTCCAGCTTATACCAGGGCCTCATGCCTGGGGTGTCTCTCTGTTACATGCACCCAAAGCCCAATGCCTTTCTTGCACGTGACCCGGACTTTCTCTCTTCTCTGTCCTTTCAACCTCCCCCAGCTTGGATCCAACACATCCCTTCCCAGTCCTCTGAAATGAGCTGGTGTTTTCTGTTAGGTGAGGCCGCTGCCCAGGCTGGGAAATCCAAGGGCTGGTCTCATCTCTGTGAGTTAGACCCCAGTGAGAATCTTGGCTGACCGGAAGGCTGGAGGCCAGAGGCTGGTACCACTGAGGTTCCCAGGCAGAGAGGGAAGTTTTGGCAGTGATCTAGGGAGCAGGATCAGGGGAAGAGGCACTGGGCTGACCAGTCAGAGGCCCAAGGGGGGAGATCTGAGCTTCTCAGTTTGGGATAGAGGGGTTAGGCAGAGACTATGATGTGTGCTACTTCAAAATTACCTTTCTAGCCCTGGAGGGTAGGTCTCCTCCCTGTGTGTTCTAGCCAAGTAACTTGGTTACCCATTCTTTGCTGCCTTCTTAGGCCAGTGGGAAACCTTAGGGCAGGTGTGCATTGATTGGGTAGAGGCCATTCTGGAGCAGGTGAGAAAAGAATCTGCTTTGTGGGAGAATGGGGTCCTGGGAAGATCCCACCTTGGGACAGCTTAGAGGAAGTTAAGGTGCTAGAAGCCAGGACTGACCTAGGTCCTAGGCCCTGCCTTGATGTGCAAGGGGAGGAGCTTGTGAGACCAAAGGTATGCTGCCCTTCACTCCGCACACATCATACCCTTCCACGAAGGATGCTGTTACTTTCATGCTGTGCCCACCTACAGAGGGAGAAGGAGGCTTCTAGATCTCCGGGCCAGATGAGGGACAGGTGGGGGCCTCATACAGCTCTGACCTTGGGCTTGGTGCCCAGGCAGGGAAAGAGTTGGAGCGGTGCCAGCAGCAGGCGAACGAGGTGACGGAAATCATGCTTAACAACTTCGACAAGGTCCTGGAGCGTGATGGGAAGCTGGCCGAACTGGAGCAGCGTTCAGACCAACTCCTGGATATGGTGTGAGGCCTGGGGGAGCATGGAGGGGTGGGGAGAGGCTTGGCAAAGGCTCTCTTGGGCTGTATTCAGGACCTACAGGTCCTTGGTGGGGCTGAGGCCTTCTTGGGGGCCAGTGTGGGGCCTCTGGGTTTCCTCAAGCACCCATAGCCTAGTTATGCAACAGGTAGACCCCACAAAATAAGAAGGCCTTGGTTTGAAGCTATGGACCTTCCTAAAGGTAGAAGACTGGCATTGTTTTTTGTTTTCCTTTTTTCTTTGAGACAGGGTCTCACTCTGTTGCCCAGGCTAGTACAGTGGCATGATCACAATTTGCTGCAGCCTCTACCTCTGAGGTTCAGGTGATCCTCCTGCCTCAGCCTCCTGAGGAGCTGAGACTGCAAGTATGCACCACCATGCCTAGCTAATTTTTGATTTTTTGTAGAGATGAGGTCTCACTGTGTTGCCCAGGCTGGTCTTGAACTCCTAGACCACAAGCAGTCCTCCCACCTCAGCCTCCCAAAATGCTAGGATTACAGGCATGAGCCACTGTGCCCAGCCTGAGGACTGGCATTGTTAACTGAAGGTGAGCTGCTATGGCTGAAAGTCAAGGGCCACACTTATGTTTGCGATGAGGACAGGCTGGGAGGGTTCTGATGGTACAGAAAGGGAGCAGACAAGATGGGGAGGATGCAGGAGGAGACGAAGCCTTACTGAGATGGGGTTGGGAGGAGCTGGCTTCTGGGCCAAGGGGGTGCCAACTAATTCCCACTCTGTCTGGGGGTGTCTGCAGAGCTCAGCCTTCAGCAAGACTACAAAGACCCTGGCCCAGAAGAAGCGCTGGGAGAACATCCGTTTCCGGATCTTCTTGGGACTATTGGGCGGTGGCCTGCTCATCATCCTGATTGTGCTGTTGGTGGTCTTTCTCCCTCACAGCAGTGACAGCAGTAGTGCCCCACGGACCAAGGATGCAGGCACTGCCTCAGGGCCTGGGGACTGACCCAGCTGGTCCTGAGAGAGAAGCCAAATGGCTGCACTGGCTGGTTCTGGTCTCCAGAGAACCTTGATGTTTGCTCTCCCCTGACCCACCCCAGTGAGTGCCAAAGGGCAGCCCCAACATGTGCACCCCTGCATTTCCTGTCATGCCACAGACTGGCCCTTGAGGGCAACCTGCTGTACTGGCCATGCTGGGCCAGCCCTACCTGGAGCTTAGTAAAAGCTGCTGTTTGATTAAAAGCTGGTATATGTGTGTGAAGGTCAACAGTTTGGTTAGTCCCATGTTCCAGGTTGGTTAGTCCCATGTCCTAGAGTAGAGACCCCTAGGGCTGCTTAGAAAGCCCATCACCCAAAGAACTCCACCCCTGGGAGATGGCTCCTTCCTCTCCTTTCCCTACTTGATCCATCCCTACAGAGACAGGGAGTGTGGGTGCAAGAACACAATGCCCCTCAAACCAGACCCTGGAACCAGTCCTCCCTATCTCAGAGCCTGTTTCTCTGAGAATGAAATCATTATGTTTCTGTCATCTTGGGGATGCTTAGAGGACCAATGAGACTGTAGTTGGGATGACAAAAAAGAAAGCACTTAAAAAAATTTTTTTGTGACTGGGTGTGGTGGCTCACGTCTGTAATCCCAGCACTTTGGGTGGATCACCTGAGGTCAGGAGTTCGAGACCAGCCTGGCCAACATGGTGAAATCTTGTCTCTATAAAATAAAAAAAATAAAATAAAAATTTTGTTTTTGATACAGAGTTTTTGCTCTGTTCCCCAGGCTGGAGTACAATGGCATGATCTTGGCTCACTGCAACCTCCACCTCCTGGGTTCAAGAGATTCTCCTGCCTTAGCCTCCTGAGTAGCTGGGATTACAAGTATCCACTACCACGCCCAGCTAATTTTTGTATTTTTAGTAAAGACAAAGTTTCACAATGTTGGGCAAGCTGGTCTTGAACTCCTGACCTCAGGTAACCCACCTGCCTCAGGCTCCCAAAGTGCTAGGATTACAGGTGTGAGCCACCGCACCTGGCCCCCAATTTTTTTCATATGGCTTTCACCTTCAGATAAATGGTTTCCCCTTTGAACACTTCCCACTCCCCAATTTCTCTTTCCACATTCTACCTCAAGCTTTACATTAGATTGCAGATGGGGAAGTGACACCAAGAGATGGGGGATCTTAAAGCGCTTGTTGATATTCCCATCTCCCTCCCTCCTTCCCTCCCTCTTTTTCTCCCTTCCTCTTTTGAGGGGGTCTCTTTAAGTCACCCAGGCTGGTCTCTAACTCCTGAGCTCAAGCAGTTCTTCTGCCTTTAGTACTGGGATTACAGGCGTGAGCCACATATCCAACCTGAATTCAGACTTTTCAAAGCTACAGGGCCATTCAGGGCCGGGCAGGCAGTGCCTTTAGGGCCACAGCAAATATCACTGGGCAAAGGCATGGAAGAAGGAAAGAAAGCACACCAACACTGTGGAAACAGGGCAGTCTCTGCCTGGGCTACTTAACTGTAGCTTAAACTCAAGCGTGAGTGGCAAGGGGAATTCAGGGTCAAGTGTATAACATAAGCAGTTCCTTGCTGGGTAGAGTGAGGGCTACTAACAGAAACCAGAATAAGTGTGAGTTGTGTGGAGTGTTACCCATTACAGAGCGAGTTAGTTTCACTGAGCTCATTACCATCTTTTTTTTTTTTCTTTTTCTTTTTTTGAGACGGAGTCTCGCTCTGTCTCCCAGGCCGGAGCGCAATGGTGCGATCTTGGCTCACTGCAACCTCTGCCTCCCAGGTTCAAGCGATTCTCCTGCCTCAGCCTCTCCAGGAGCTGGGATTACAGGCGCTGCCACCAGACCTGGCTTTTCTTTTTTTCTTTCTTTCTTTTTTTTTTTTGTATTTTTAGTAGAGACGGGGTTTCACTGTGTTGGCTAGGCTGGTCTCGAAATCCTGACCTCATGATCCGCCCGCCTTGGCCTCCCAAAGTGCTGGGATTACAGGCGTGAGTCACCTCTCTTGGGAAAGATGGAGGAAAGCACTTGGCCCTGCAGTTGGTCTGCAGCACCACTTAAAGACTGCAAATTTGGGCAAGCCACTTCTGAGGTTAAAAAGGCATAATGATGCTTAGCTCCTGGGACTACTGAGGGGATGATCGGTGTGTAAAACATTCATCAGTCTAACAGTTCTAGATGCTAAATAGTACCTATCATCCAAATCATTCAGTGCAGTGGCTCTTAAACCTGCTTCACCTGTAGAATTTATACAAATGTCTTTGCCCAGGCCCCACCACAGATCAGTTAAATCGGAATCTTTGAAGGTATCCTCCGCGCCCATTCTTTCCTCAGGTGATTCATGTGTAGGAAGGAATGAAAAGGTGTTAGTACAAGCCACTAGTTTTACAGAAGCTAAGGACAGCAACGGGCTGAAGTTAACAGTCCCATGAGCTGGTTGAGGCCCCAGCTCCCCGGCAGAGGGGCCTGTCTCTCTCGGTTGAGGAGGCTTGCCCCACCTTTTATTATTACGCCTAACACATAAGAAATGAGCAGGAATTTTTTTTTCGGGGGTTGGGGAGGAATCAAACGCAATCTCCTGAACCCTCTAGAGCGCCGCGGGACAGAATCGTCCGGTGGGGACCGGGACAGCGCATCGAGAAGTGCCCTGGCCCAACGCCCGCAGGAACCTGAACCCCTGGGCCAGCGCTGCCTTCTCTCCGAGAGGTCTCTAGCATCTGCACTGTTAAAGCCCTCTGAGCCTCAGGGCAGATTGACGACCCTTACAGATCAGACAGTTGGATGCGACCACCGCCGGAAATTCCCGGGAATTGAGTCTTGGCTCCGATTCCAAAACAAATGCTTCCTCACAAGTCCAGATCTCTGTCATTGGCGTTAGGATCTGGTCACCTGACCTATTTAAGCCAATGAGAGGCGGCTGAATTAGTACTTCCGCTTTCCGTTGTGTTAACGAGCCACTGTGCCCGTCCCACGGATACTCTGATTGGCCAGCTTCCCTCAGCTCGTCAGTTTATTGGCCAGCGCCGCTAGGCCGCGATCAAGCCGGGTCCGAGAGCTGTGTCAGACGACTGGGCAGCCATGGCGTCCTATTTCGACGAACACGACTGCGAGCCGTTAGACCCCGAGCAGGAGACTCGAACCAACATGCTGCTGGAGCTCGCAAGGTGGGTGCGCGGGGCTTGGGGATGGGGTCCAGCCAGCAGGTTTCTGGGCTGGGGCTGGCTGGAGAAGGCGGATTACCGGAGGCAGCTGACTCTGGGGAGGACGGATGAGTAATCTGCAGTGTTAGTCCGGGCGGTGAGATTGAGGGGTGTGGGAATGAGCATCTCGATAATTTGGGCCGTCCGTTGGGCTGCCTGGGCAAGGGAATTGAGGAAAAGACGAGCTGGAGAGTGGTGGACGGACAGCAGGCTCTGGGAGGTCCCGGAGAAGGTGAGGCATGGGGGCAGGGTTGGGGCCGTGTGCTGTGAGTGGGTATATTCATCAGGAACAGCAGGCACTGCCGACTTGGAATCTGGCTCCACAAGGTTATTCTGCGTGGCCTGAGTAACTTCTTTGAGACTGTTGCCTCATGTATAAAATGGGAATAAAAAAAGTTACGTGCTGCGGCGGTCTGGTAGCAGCTGTAAACTATTTCCCATCGTGCTTTTTATCTAGTGAGCATCTACTAACTACTAACAGAAGCTATTATTCCTACTAGCTGGGCAGGGTGTTTATAGGTTACTGTCCAGTGCATTATGGGGGCAAAGAGAAAGCATAGTTTTCCTTTGTTCTGACTTTACATCCTCTTCCCCAGGTCACTTTTCAATAGGATGGACTTTGAAGACTTGGGGTTGGTAGTAGATTGGGACCACCACCTGCCTCCACCAGCTGCCAAGACTGTGGTTGAGAACCTCCCCAGGACGGTCATCAGAGGCTCTCAGGCTGGTGAGGACACTAATATTTTCTGCTATGTGGGCCAGACCTACCCCTTCCCCAAGTCAGACTGTGGTCTGGTCCCTAAGTTTTCCAGGCCAGGTGGGGCAAGTGTCCTTCAGGAGTGGGAGCTTGGGAGGCAGGGACTGTAGCATCTCTCCTGATCAGCACTCCTTCCTAAAGAGCTCAAGTGCCCCGTGTGTCTTTTGGAATTTGAGGAGGAGGAGACTGCCATTGAGATGCCTTGCCATCACCTTTTCCATTCCAGCTGCATTCTGCCCTGGCTAAGCAAGGTACTGCTTTTCTTCTTCCAGCTCTCACTCTGCTCTGGGCCCAGTACTCAAGCTTCTTTCTGTTCACAGACTGTTGGGGGATCAAAGAAGGGAGGCACTTGGGAGCAGGGAAGGTGGTTATCAGCTTATGAAGATCAGACCAAGGCTATACACTACTCTACTTTTCTCAGACAAATTCCTGTCCCTTGTGCCGCCATGAGCTGCCCACTGATGATGACACCTATGAGGAGCACAGACGAGATAAGGTAGGGGCTGATGGTTAAGTGGAGGGGTCGTAATAGGCTTCCTCAGTCCTGTACTTGCTGCCATCACTTTCCACCTCAGCAAGACTGGACCAGGCCTCAGAGTCCCTGGCTCTGGCTGGCTTCTTAGTGACTTTGGTTTGTGGTAAGAGCCTCAGCAATGCAGATGCCAGAGGCCTGAAAACAGAGCCAGCCCCATGATAGTTGCCCATCCCCTCACCCACAGGCCTTCAGTTTTGGCCCCTGCCCAGTGTGCCCTCTTTCCTTCAGGCTCGAAAACAGCAGCAGCAGCACCGACTGGAGAACCTCCATGGAGCCATGTACACGTGAGGAGGCTGGGGCTGAGCACCGGCCCTCTGCGTCTTCCTTACAAACCTTGAATCCTCATTAAAGGTTTCTGTACTCACCCTGAGGCTGTATTGATCACAGACCTGGTCAGGGGCTCTGCATCCTCCTTCAGGTCTCTACTGCTATTGGGGAAGGTGGTCCTAAACCGCAGAAGTAGGCCATGGTTTCCCTCCCTGCTGGCCCATCTAGACTCATGGCAGTGGATTACTGCACCAGCCAGGGCTTGGGCCTATGTGTTCATGGTTGGAAGGCAAAATGTGTCAGGGTCTGGCACCCAGTTAATTACTTAAAGCTGATAAACGAGCCTGCAGCCTCCTCTCACTGCAATTTCTAGTTAACTTTGGAATCCCAGAGGTTTTCTTTTTCTCTATTGAGAAAGCTGCTTTTAATATTTTAAAGTTGCTCTCTGTACTACCCCCACCTTCCACCCCTGCCTCTTACTAAGGAATCAAAGTTCAAACCAGACTCAGTGGGGGATGGGTGAGATTATTAGATCAAGTCAGTTCTTTAGATTGTTTAGAGGCCTAGAAGGGTTTCAAGCCCTTCAACGGGTATTTGAATGGTACCTGCCATCCTTTGTTTCTGGCAGCAAAGTATGCTCAGCACTGTCCTGGGGGGCAAGGGCTTTCTCCCATCCTTGGCTTTTGGAAAGCCATCCCAGATCAGGTCCCCCCTTTCCCGACTCTCCAGAACAGACTACAAACATGCAAATTAGAATTCTTTTAATATAAAAAAAAGTACTAAAATACCCACGTGGTTCTGCTGTGTTATTTGCCCTAAAGGAAGTGAGGGGCAGAGTGAAGAATCCCAGTGCAGCTCAATGGGCCCAGAAATGGGCCTTTCCATAGGCTAAGGCGTACCCACTCCACCTCCACCAGACTTCTATCCCCACTGCTGTTCCCAGCCCCCAATTCCTGCAGCAGGAAACCCCAGTGGTCTGGCTCTGGCACTGGGAGTAGAAGGCACCTGAAGGGCTGGCTGGGTGAGTGAGGACAGGTGACCTTTAAAAACAAAACGACACCATGGGGTGGGGAAGGAGGTCATGCAGCTGTGGCAGCTGGCAGGGCCCACTCCTCTATGGCACAGGTGGATGTGGGATGGCCATTTCTCCAGAAGTGAGGAAGCCCAGATCCCAACAGAATACTTTCTCAAAATTGTTTTTGGTACAAAATAAATGCAAAGAAGATATAGGGTGGGGTGCTGCGGAGGCCGGGCCAGCCACCCTCCCCAGACCTTAGATCATAGCGATGCTCTCAGGGGCACAGTTGAGGTGGGTGGAGGTGCTGCTGCTGCCGGAGGACTTGCAGGCCCGGCCAGGGGTAGGTTGCAGTGCAGCCACCAATGTGTCTGAGGAGACTGCCCCAAACTCGTAGCTGAAGGTGCCATAGAAAATGAGGATATCGATGACACACACCCACTCACACAGGGCTGCCCCATGTTGCAGCTGAGAACTCTCATGGACAAAGAAGACTCCACCTGAAATGGGGTTAAGGAAATGTTCAGTAGGACATATGGAAACCTGGAAACAACCCTCTGCAGTCCCAGGCCTCACCTCCCCAAAGGGAGCAGACCACATGGCAGAGTTAGGCCTCCACCCCCCCCCCCATCCTCTTGGGAGGGAGAAAGGTTGAGCTAGAGGATGAGTTCCCGGCTGCCCCATCATAGAAGGATACTGAGGACCAGGGTGATGAAGGCGATGACAGCCAGCACACTTCGAAGATAGGCCACAGCCAGGTCCAGGGGGGCGGTGGCCCCTTGGTAGGAGAGAACACAGTGCAGGCAGACAAAGAGCAGCCCCGCAGGGAAGGCCACACCAGCTCCAATGTAGTGTAGAGACCTGGCATGATCCACCTGGGCTCAGAGAGGGGTCAGTCGGTGATGTGGCTGCAGCCAAACCCCTCCACCCCTCCTTCAATGGATCTTCTCTCTCCCTCTTCCTTTCTCCCCCTCCTTTCTCATTGTCTCCTTCCGGCCCCAACCTTGAGGTGCCACCCCCTGTAGGCAGCCAGGCCTTGTTAGATAAAGTTCAAGGTTTGCAGGGGAGGAGGGGAAGCACCTGAAAATTGCCGACCACCAAGAGGCCTGCAGCGTTGGTGCAGCCAGTGATGAGCGCCGTGGTGTTAACCCAAGAGTGCCGACTGTGCTCCAGGAGCTGCCCGTAGCGCAGGAGGCAGATCAAGGCCACTGGGGGAGGAGAGCAAGATTGGGGCGTTCCTCCAGCCCTGGCCCCGCCCAATGAACCTGTCAGCTTCCCGCTCCCCACCGCTCTGGTGCTCCTGCCCCATCTGAGAGGCAGAAAGGGAATGGACAGGCGGGTGGTGAACTAGGTTTCCTCAGGCTCCAGCCAGCAGGGTGGCTGTGTGGGAGTCAGCCTTTGACCTTCAAGGAAGGGAAGAGAAGTTGCCTCTATTGCCTTAGCCCTTGGTGGGGAGGGCTGCACCAAGGGCTTCCTGGGCCTTTCTGCATGGGAGGCACTGGGCTGGACAGGCAGGGTCAGGGCTAAGGGTACAACTCACCCATGAAAGCACCCATGTTGCCAATGAGGCTGAAGAGGCAGCTTTCTGGGGGATAGGAGCCACACTTGCTGCGAGGAGGGGGAAGGACAGAGTAAGAGGGGGCAGGAGGCCCGGGGGGCCCCCATTCTGGCTCACTGGCTCTCCCCTGCTTTACCTGCACCTGCTCTTTAGCAGGTAGGCCACCTTTTCACACTGATTTGTGTGAAAAGCCAGGGTCCCTCATGAACAACTGGTTCCAGGCTGAGCCGCCAAAGGAGAGCTCATGTGTGTCAGAGAGAAGGGAGCGCCCAGGAGTGTTTGGGTAACCCTGAGACTCTGCTGAGCCCTGCAGGTGGTCTGGCTATCCTCGAGCTAGAACACGGGCTGGGCAATCTGAGGGCTTGAGCTTAAATCCGGGTGCCTCCACTTATTATCTGTGTGATCTGCATGAGTGATACTGAGCTGTTTCCTCACCTATAAAATGGTCAGACAACAGCTGCCTCCTGCTGGGAGGATGAAAAGAGACAATGCATATAAAGCACTCAGCAGAGTGCCTGCCCCATAGCAACTGCCAAGTAGTATTGTTATTAAGTGGCCCTTAGGATATTTATTATTCCTGAGACCCAAGGACAGCTCTTTGCTTGAGGGGCTGTCTGGGAGGATCTTAGATCTTCCTGACCTGCCCAGTGTTCCTAACCTGCCCAATGTCCAGGCCTTACCTGATGAGGGGGACATCGTCCAGGGTGCAGCAGGTCTTGGGGCCCCCTTGCTCAGCAGGGTCAGGAGAGCAGGACTCGTTGTAGGACCTGGTAGGTGGGACAGGGAGTAGACTGGGGGAAGGGACTGCCCCTAGGCCCTTGGCCTATAGCCTCAGACCTCATAGGGGACTCTCTCCCAGACTTCCCCTGCAGGGACAAAAGATCCCACTTCCCAGGGCCTGCCTGAAGCAGTAGCCAAAGGGGCAAAAGGATGGTGGGAAGTGGGTAGGTGCTATGAAGCCATGCAAGGGACCAATTTCAGAGAAAAGCAGTGAGGCTCAGCAGTCTGGCTGGGCTCAAGAGGGGACAGAGATGAAGGAAACTTTAGAGTGAGGTTGTCTGCAGTGCTTCATACCAGTTCTCCACGGGGCATACATGGTGGTTCATCACAGCCATGGCATACCTGTGGGAACAGAACTGTCATCCTGCCCTCATGCCTCTCCTGGTTCAGCCTTCCCAAGCCCCCCCTTAATCCACCCCATAACCCTTTTCTTCCACCTTGATTTCTGGGGCCTATTCAGCCTCACTGTTGCTGAATGATGCCACACCAGCATCTGCAGCATGGCCCCCAGCTAGAGGCCCTCTGGAAGTTACCCTGGCCAGAAGTATATTTGTCAGGGCCACCCTGGTGGACAGCAGTGGTGCCAGCTTGTCCCAAGGGGCTGTGTGCCTAGGCACCAGGCCAGGCTTTGGAGAAAGCCAGAGTGACCCTGGGTACAACCCTAGAGCCTACAACAGGACAAGGGACTTTGTGTGTGACAAGCTCCTGTTGTCCCCCCACAACCCCCGCACCCCGATTTACTCACACAGTCCATATGCCAGTGATGGAGAATGCTGACAGGCTGACAGGCAGGAGGATCCAGGCGGTCATGAGGGAGGGGAGCCAGGGTGGTGGTGGTGTGGGGGGGCAGGACAAGAGGTAGATGGGGAAGTAGGGGCGGACCAGCTACCTTGAGATGTTTCTGCCACAACCATCAGCTGCCCTGGCCTGGTGGAGAGAGGCAGATCAAAGTCCAGTCGTGGGTGACTGGCCAGGAAGGGGGAGGGTAAAGGAGGTCAACACCTTATCCAGCGCTCCTGTTGGGGTCTCAGAGAGTCCAAAGTTTGGGCTGACCCCATGCCAGAACGTAGACACCCACGGGCATTGGGGGCTTCCGCGGTCAACCCAAATGCCAACGGCGTGCTGAGAGATGTAGGCGAATCGTAACATCTGGAAGGGAGTTACCCTCCTTCTGAGGGACCAGGGCTGGGAGAAGGGCTGGACAACCGATGAGGCCACGCCAAGGAGAGGCTGGGTGCGGGCCCAGTGGAGTGGTGGCGAGGCGGCGGAGCGCAGGCAAAACCACCTGACCATCGGCGCCCTGGGCGAGGGGCGGGTTCACGCGGGAAGCCCGGCCCGGCACCCGCTCGCCTGGGCGCGGGGACCCTGGCTGGGGCCGGAGCCTGCGGCCGGTGACCCCCGGGGACCCGGGACGCGATACTCCCCAGGTGATTCCTGGAAGCCCGGAGGAAAGGAAGGAGCCCAGTACGCACCTCCCGGGAGTGCCCAGCCGCCGCCGCGCCCTGCTCGGCCCCCTCGTGGCGCCGACTCCAGCTGCGGCCCTCGGAGCAGCCCTGAAAGGTTTAAAGGGCCGAGCGGCCCCGCCCCTGGCGGCCCCAGGCCTCGCCGCGCCGCCCGCCGGGACGTGGAGTCCGCGTAGCCCCGGCCCCGGCGCCCGCGCCCTGCCGGAGACTACAACTCCCGAGCCCCCGCGCCCGCGTCACGGGAGAAACGTGGGCGGCGTCCCAACTTCGGAGGACCTGGGCGCGGA